TTGAATCTACTTATTCCATCCACATAAGGTTTGCTAACTTTCCTAATTTGGTTTTAAATCCCAATAAGTTACACCAATTTCTCTCCAAGGAAACGAATTTGTGGTTGATATTGTATCTCTCTTCATTACCACTCAATTTTCACTTCTGTAATCCTTGTGCCAGTCAAACATGGGAAAAGAAATGGGGACGAAAAATAGTACACATCTTTTATTCTTGATGGCGCCCTAATTATTACTAACCCCCCTCCTCCTCTCAATTTACTTCTTGTGAAAGACATTAGAATATACTTTAGAATATAGTTTAGAATATTCTTCTATCCTTAGAATATACTTTAGAATATTTTAGGAATATACTCTAGGATATTATTATTGTATAGAATCTTATAGGAATATTCTATCTTTGTAATGTATATTTATAGGGACTTAACCCTCCAATGAAATACACAGAAAATCTTTCCTCCTCTCTTCAATATTATATTTTGTAGTTTATATTTCAACATGGTATCAGAGCCTTCCATTTCAGTTTAGTTTTTCAGATTTCAGTTCTTTATTCAGGCTGACTTCCGTTCAGTATTCAGGCTGGGTTCTTTCTCCAAGAACTTGAGTTAACTTCAGAACCTTACACACCATTTTCAGAACCTTACACACCATTCTGCCTACAGAACCTCTACACACCATTAAACAGAACCTCTGTCCAGACCAACACCGTCCTATTTCTCACCTCCGTCCTAACCAATTGCACTTGCCGCCGCCGACCACGTCTTTGGAGTCCGCACCGGCAAAGCTTCACGCGTCAGTCACACGCGCCGCCGAAGACTTTCTCGGCTGCCGCACGCGCCGGCGAGTGAAGCTTCATAGCTGACCGGATTTCTAATCGGAAATCGCCATCTCTGCCAGGCAAATCCATTTTTCCGATCTGCGAGCTTTTGGATCCACGGTCTTCTTGAGGTTGGCGACGCAGACTGTTGAGAAAGGTTGGGATTTGAGACTAGGTGAACTAGCTCGAATTAGAAAGGGGCTGCGTTATATTTTTGGAGTCGCCACTATCATTAGCTGGTAAGTCAGAAACCCAGACCTCGCCAACCATCTATTGAGCTGCGACTGGTAAGTCTTAATTAGCTGTATTTATTTATTTATTCTCAAAAAAAAAAAAAAAGTAAAAAAAAAAATCAAAAAAAAAAAATCAAAAAAAAAAAATTCAAAAAAAAAAAAAAGAATGTCTTTTACGGGTCCATTTGGCAGAGGAGTAATATGCCATTACTGCAAGAAGCCCGGGCACTTGCTCAAAGAATGTAGAAAGTTGCTGTTCAAAAATCAAGGAAATCAGCTTGCTCATGTTGCTTCCGCTACGAGTTCATTTGATGGATCAATTGCTATTTCTTCAGACGAGTATGCTAAATTTATTTGCTACCAAGAATCTCTAAAGCATTCATCTACCCCTATCTCGGTAGTCGCAAATTCAGGTATTTCAAACACATGTCTTGTTTCATCATCCTCAAAATGGGTCATTGACTCAGGTGCCACAGATCATATGACTGGTAATCCTAGTCTATTCTCATCATTTCACTCACATTTACCTGCTTCCAGTGTCACTTTAGCAGACGGGTCTACCTCACCCGTTCTTGGATCTGGTACTGTTGTACCAACTTCTACATTACCATTATCGTCTGTTTTGAGTCTTCCTAATTTTGCATTTAATCTGCTTTCCATCAGTAAAATCACACGTACTCTTAATTGTTCTGTAACATTTTTTCCGGGATATTGTGTGTTTCAGGATCTGTTAACGAAGCATACTATTGGTCAAGGACATGAGTCGGGTGGTCTTTATATTTTGGATACATCAATTACAAAAGGTATCTCTTGCCTTGGGGTTGGAAATCTATTAGAAGCTCATTACCGATTAGGACATCCATCTCTCTCACTAATGAAGCAATTATATCCTCAGTTTAATAAGGTGTCTTCTATACAATGTGAGTCGTGTGAGTTTGCTAAACATCATCGCACTAGTTTAAGTCCCCGACTTAATAAACGAGCAAATGCTCCGTTTGATCTTGTCCATACTGATGTTTGGGGGGCATGTCCAGTTGTGTCCAAACCTGGTTTCAAATATTTTGTCACTTTTGTTGACGATTATTCTCGTATGACATGGGTGTATTTTATGAAGCGCCGATCCGAGTTATTTACTCATTTCTCTGCATTTTGTGCTGAAATTAAAACTCAATTTAATGTTCCTGTTCGTGTGTTAAGGGGAGACAATGCCCAAGAATATTTATCTGCTCCATTTAAATCTTTTATGCTTCAACATGGCATTATTCATCAAACTTCATGCGTAGACACACCTCCTCAAAATGGAGTTGCTGAAAGAAAGAATCGACATCTGTTAGAAACTGCAAGGGCTCTTCTATTCCAAATGAATGTGCCTAAACAGTTTTGGGCTGACGCTGTGTCTACTTCATGTTTTTTGATCAATCGTATGCCATCTTCTGTTTTGGATGGTAAAACTCCTTATCAATGTCTTTTTCCAAATAAAGAACTTTTTCCTATTCCACCTAAAATATTTGGTTGCACTTGTTTTGTTAGAGATGTTAACCCTCATCGGACGAAATTGGACCCCAAGTCATTGAAATGTATTTTCTTGGGTTATTCTCGAGTTCAAAAGGGGTATAGATGTTTTTGTCCAAGTACAGGTCGATATCTTATTTCTATTGATGTCTCATTTCATGAAAATACACCATTTTCATCATCCAAGACAGATATTCATGAGGACAATGATGAAATACTCATTTACACAGTTACTATACCTGAGACCACACCTTCAGTAACTATGTCGAATGTCACTGTTCCTGACCCTAGACCTCCTGTACACTTGGTTTACACCCGTCGACACAAAGCACAAGATCACTCCCCACCTGTGACACCTGTGATTACATATCCTGATACTGGTCCGACTTCGATCTCATGTCCTGAACCAGTACCTGCATCTTCAGATCTTGTCTCTACATCTGATCTTGACCTCCCGATAGCACTACGTAAAGGTACACGGTCTTGTACTCATCATATTTCCTCATTTGTGTCATACAGTCAGTTATCTCCTGCCTCATGTTCTTTTGTTGCTTCCATTGATTCTATTTCTGTTCCCAAATCTGTTAAAGAAGCTTTGTCTCATCCTGAATGGCGACATGCCATGGTAGAGGAAATGAATGCTTTGGATCTTAATGGTACTTGGGATTTGGTATACTTGCCTTCAGGGAAGAAGTCTATTGGATGTAAGTGGGTCTTTGCTGTTAAGGTTAATCCAGATGGATCTGTTGCTCGATTGAAAGCTCGATTGGTTGCAAAGGGTTATGCTCAAACCTATGGTGTTGATTATTCTGACACTTTTTCTCCTGTTGCTAAATTAACATCTGTCAGGTTACTTATCTCACTCGCTGCAACTCATGATTGGCACTTACACCAGTTGGACATTAAAAATGCATTCTTACATGGTGACCTTCAGGAGGAAGTTTATATGGAGCAACCTCCGGGATTTGTTGCTCAGGGGGAGTATGGGAAAGTTTGTCGACTTCGCAAATCTCTTTATGGTCTGAAACAGAGTCCTCGTGCATGGTTTGGGAAATTCAGTCAATCCATTGAACGGTTTGGAATGATAAAAGGTCAATCAGATCACTCTGTCTTTTACAGAAAAACGAAAGCAGGTATCACATTGCTTGTGGTGTATGTCGATGATATTGTGATTACAGGAAGTGATACCGCAGGTATTTTGGCCCTTAAGAATTTTCTTCATAGCCAATTCCAAACAAAAGACCTAGGCTCATTGAAATACTTTCTGGGTATTGAGGTAACACGGAGTAAGAAAGGCATATTTCTATCTCAGCGTAAATATGTACTTGATTTACTAACTGAAACGGGGAAATTGGGAGCAAAGCCAAACACAACTCCCATGGTTCCCAATGTGCAACTCACTTCAGAAGGCATACCATTCGAAGACCCAGAAAGGTACAGAAGATTGGTTGGAAAGCTTAACTATCTCGCAGTCACTCGTCCAGACATTGCTTACTCTGTGAGCGTAGTGAGTCAATATATGTCATCTCCGACAGTTGATCATTGGAATGCAGTAGAGCATATATTATGTTACTTGAAGGGGACACCAGGACGAGGTATTGTTTACCAAAATCATGATCACATGAGAATAGAATGCTTTGCAGATGCTGATTGGGCTGGATCTAAAGATGATAGGAGATCCACATCTGGCTATTGTGTCTTTGTTGGTGGTAATCTCGTCTCTTGGAAAAGTAAGAAGCAAAATGTGGTTTCTCGTTCGAGTGCTGAATCAGAATATCGGGCTATGACACAATCGGCATGTGAGATAATCTGGATAAACCATTTGCTGAGTGAAATCGGATTGAAGACACCAATGCCTGCTAAACTCTGGTGTGATAACCAAGCTGCTATACACATTGCCAACAACCCAGTGTTTCATGAGAGAACAAAACATATTGAGGTCGATTGTCACTTTGTTCGAGAAAAGATACAACAAGGATTGATCTCTACAGGATATGTGAAGACTGGAGAGCAACTTGGAGATTTGTTCACTAAAGCATTAAATGGAATTCGTGTTGGTTATTTATGTAACAAGTTGGGCATGATAAATATCTATGCTCCAACTTGAGGGGGAGTGTGAAAGACATTAGAATATACTTTAGAATATAGTTTAGAATATTCTTCTATCCTTAGAATATACTTTAGAATATTTTAGGAATATACTCTAGGATATTATTATTGTATAGAATCTTATAGGAATATTCTATCTTTGTAATGTATATTTATAGGGACTTAACCCTCCAATGAAATACACAGAAAATCTTTCCTCCTCTCTTCAATATTATATTTTGTAGTTTATATTTCAACACTTCTGTTTTGTTTTGCTAGTATTTTCCTAGTTCCAAACAGACCCCAGTTGTAATTTCAGTTGGTTACTCTATGCCTCTCACTCTATCCAGATGCATGGAGGATTTAGTTAGCACCACTCGTTATGTGACATGGTCACTCCACAATAAGGTTAGGGAGTTGCTTAGTTTTGCTAATGTCACATTACCTCGTGACTCTTCTAATCATGTGTGATCACATTCTATCACACTTTCAGAACCGAGCTGGATTACGCCAGTTCCTAGATTCATTTGGTGGGTCAGAGCATTCTTCTATGAATGGCAGTTCTGCTTCAGCTGGTCAAGAGTTGTCAACCGAATATGTAAATGGTGAAACCAAACCCAGGACGGATGTAAAGGTTACATCAAAGAATAATGAGTTAAGTATGAGCTGCCAGACATCAGAAACCAGACTAGCTGACCTCTTAGATAGCACTCTATGGAACAGAAGGCTTGCTCCTTCTTCCGAAAGGATTGTTTATGCATTGGTTCAACAAATATTTCATGGCATAAGAGAATATTTCTTGGCTTCAACAGAATTAAAGGTACGTCTTTCTTCTCTATACTTTGAAGATGGGCAGACAATTTTTTTTTTAAAAAATAAATTTTTGGTTATCTAGAGCACGTTTTGTAACACTTGTTTATTTTGGCTTATTAGTGTTGTCATCCAAATGCTGTATTCAAACACCATCTTATTTAATTGAAATGGCTAAATAGGTCGCTCATAAAAGAGTACTGTAGGAATCAGAGAGTGCCTTTGTTTTTCAAAGGTTCTTTTGGTTCTTTTTTCCCTGTAAAATGTTTTCTGGACTTTACCGTATTAAATGCTGAAATACTTTCCTGTGTCTCACTGTCTTGACTTCTTGTGATTGCCACCGAAAACACTTTTCGTGGGGGGGAATCATATTTCTTTGAAATTTTATGGAAATGACTTCTTTTTTCCAAGAAATAGTTTCCACGTAAAACATTTTCAAGAACTGATTTTCGAGCAATCTAATGGATCCTATGTTATCTATAATGAAGATAAATAATACTTCTAGCCTCATCTGTTCCCCATCCCCTTTAAAAAAACTTTTAGCCTCATCTTCTAGATATTGAATCCATTATTTTTTTTAAAGACAAATTAAAACATTTTTAGGATAGTACACCAAACAAACTTTTTTACAGGTACATTTTAAAGATAATACACCAAACCAAACACTTTAGTTGAAATCCACTCCAACCAAACAGGATCTTCGATTGCCTTGTTTGGCACTATTTTTAGTCCTGAACAGTTGTCAGTTGCTACTTTCTGCAGTTCAACTGTTTTCTCCTCATGCCGGTTGTGGACAAGTTGCCTGCCCTCCTTCGCAAAGACTTGGAATCTGCATTCGAAGATGATTTGGACAATGTTTTCAACATCACCAACCTGCAGCATTCATTTGGACAGCAGAAACGCGAAACTGAGATTGAGTTGAAAAGAATACAAAAACTTAAAGAGAAGTTCAGGTGCATTCATGAACAACTTAATTCCCACAAGATTTAAGTTTTGGCAAGTAGTGATCTTAGTTGGTACTGAAAGAGAGAAGTCAGGTTTGCTATTCTGTAATTTTCAAGCTTGAGTTTGATTGCTTTCTCGCCAACCCCATTTTGAGGAAAATATTTTTGAGAAATAAATCAAAGTAAAAAAACATAAAACCCCCTGAAAGAAAATAAAAATGGATAAAACATCTGATCAGAAGAAATCTTGAGATCATGCAACTAATAAAACGTTCTGAACCAAGAGTGGTGCTTATTAATCAACAACCAGAAGAAGAGATGGCTGCAGGAAACCCATTATGCAGAAACAACTGAGAAGTGAGAAGTCTTGTTTTCAAGAGTTTAATTGTTCTCATTTTAAGAGGGAGAGGAGACTTGAGTCAAGGAGAGACTGAATTTGCACTATGAAGGAGATGAAAGGAGAAGATCAAACAAGCTGAGCTGAGCTCAAATTTGGTCTGGTCGAGCTGGATGAGAATGCATTGGCTTGAACTCGAATGAGCTTAATAAATAGATTAATCTCACCACTAATTTTGCTCATAAACTTTTATATTTTTCAGGATATAATAAGTTACTTGAGCTCCAATCTGAACTGATTTGTATTTTCTAATTTTAAAATTATCCATATTATATTTAATTATTTATACATACAAATAAGCGTACCCACCTCATAAGCATAACACAACCAATCAACTAAGGGTCCAAAATAAAAAATAAACTGGAAGATAACAATACTAAAATGCAAACTAAACGAGCCTGTCACAGTGTCACCGCTTACCAAGCTCCATTATTCTTGATCTCTTCTAACCAAGGTCTTCCACAAAGAGCCAAGGCTCTAGCTCGTCATTCCATGGCGGTGGTTCAGGAGGAGGCCGAACCATCAAGACTAGGCTTGGACTCGGTGCGGGCCACCCGGCCCGGTGCTGTGTGGGCCTGGCCCGGCCCAGGAACCGGGTACCGGTTCCAGGTCTGGGCCCGGTTTGGGGGGGTAACCGGGGCGGGTACGGGCTATGTGAAATGTGAACCGGCCCAGCGGGGCTGGGTGTTTTGGGGGGTTTGGGGGGGTGAGGGAGGAGGGTCAGGGGTAGTTAGAAAAGCAAAAAAAAAATGAACCGGCCCGAGGCCCGGCCCGAGGCCAAGCCCGTACCCGGTGGAAACCCGGGCCGGTTCCGGGCCTTCCCCCAACCCTCAAAAGCCAGGTTGGGCCTAGCCCGACCCGGGCCTGATCCGGGCCGGTCCATGACTAATCAAGACCGTTATGGTTGATACTTCAACACTGATCAAACATGATCTTTTCGAAATGCTGGTCCACTCAAGCGCTAGACTCCCATCCGCCACACCCGAAGCCGTAATTTTCGCCAACATAGTCATGTCTTTGTCATCCATCTCCACATTGCCATACACCTGAGCCAGCTACTCCACCTCAAACTGTTCATAGTTTGCTTCCATCATCTGCCCTTAGAGTGGCCCGAATGAATTCAACCGAATCGCCGCACCATGAAGCATGCCCCTCCCTCAGCCGTCCTTCAACACCTACCGCTCGTCTAACTATCATAGAAGGCCTGATTTAGAAAGTTAATCGAGTACCCTTCCAGCGAAGGTCGCTGACCAAGAGAGCCGTCGCCGATCGTCCCTGGCAAAGCCGTTCAAACTTGTGCCTAACCGTGGGCTGCCGTCCGCGGTTTTTGTGGTTGTTTAGACTTATGTTGTAGTTGAGTACAAAGTTACTTGAAGCAACTCTAATCAACTCCATATTTTGAAAATGAATAAATATACTTAAGCTATTGTAATTTATACTATATTTTACTCAGTAATGTATTAAAATGTGCACAAATTTTACAATTAAAACAAGAACACTATAAAATTGGATAGAATAAACTTTTATTTCAGATTATCTTACAAATGTAGCAGAATAATTTCAAAATTTATTACGGAGTATAATTTATGAGCCATAAGGCCCATAACTATGGTCGTTGTACGTTTCGCCGTTGTCCATAAAAAAAATGGATACATTGAATGCAGAAGATTTTTTTGTTAATGCAATTAGTTTACTTATTATTTTCGTTGAGGCTTTGAGAGATGATTGAAATAATTAACCAATGGCTTGGGTGTATGGCACTTCTTTGATGGGTGTTTGATGGGTCCATTGTTTTCCTATACTTTAAAAAAGGGTAATTCTAAACACAGCCCACTTTTTACTAAATACAACCACTAACTAAATTAAATGCCTACTATATCCCTATTATTGCCCCTTACTCTGTGATCAAGTCGATCAAATTCCCCAATAATAAACTCCCTATGTAGTTTAAATATATACATATACATATCACTAAAGAAAAACGAAGTGATGATAGAATGGAAAAGAGAAAAAATAGATAGATGAAAAATATGAGATGCAAGAAAGACTCAGAATAAACGTACGAAGAATATAATTTTGATTGTGTCTTTATAGATAAGATCAAATTTTGGAGAAGTTATCCACAATAGGAAGCAAGATCGGGTCACGAAGTGCTGGAATACTGGCGTTTGAGGATTATTATTGAGAAATATAAATAATCTGAAATGGCAACAACAAATATGAACAAACAGATTTTAGTAGCTGTATGAGACGGAAACCATCGTGTCTTTATAGACAAGATAAAAAAATTCGAGAAGTTATTTGCAATAGGAAGCAAGATCGGGTCACCAAGGTGGTTGTATCTCTAGCCGGCGTTCTTGGATGGTGCTGGACTACCGGCGTTTGAAGTCTCTTCTTTTAGATCGGCAATCACAAAGAGAGTACTGTGAATCCCCTGTGATAATAATAATAGGGATATAATAGACATTTAATTTAATTAGGGGCTGTATTTAGTAAATAGTGGGCTGTGTTTAGAATTTCCCTTAAAAAATGATTCATTATTCTACTTATTACCTCTCCTAAATCCAATATGAATTTATGGACTCGGATAGATCTAACGTAGCGGATGAATGATTTTTTCTAAAAAAAAAGGATGACACCCCATCCCTGAGGGCCCCCCAACACCGACCGGACGGCACGATGGGAGGATGTAAATTGGACTATAATCACAATCTGACAGATAGAGAGTGGGGCTCTGTCCCCGGTACTTGCAGAAGTCCTATGCATTTTTCAGCATAGTAACCCCTCATCGCAGTTGCCGGGATTCGAACCCGAGACCTAACCCTTGTGTCACTTCTTCTATCCAAACATACATGGATGAAGTTTATACTACAAAGTACAAACGAAATTACAAGGAAACATACATAGAGAAATTCGAAGATTGGATGTCAAACTGTCTGAGAAACCAATCTCAAACTCTACTGGTGTCTAGAGGCATTGGAACCCGCCTGGTCCGATCTGGAACCCGCCTACCCTTCCAAAAATGCAGGCCGATCACTATCCAGCACGTAAAAGACCCAGAACCTGAAAAAACCCGTTATCTATGTTAGACCCAGAGATATGGAAATAACTGGTAAGCCCAAACTAAAGATGAAACTAAAGTTCCTGCAATGGGAATCCATCCCAAGTCTAGCACCTGTCACACCGTTCCAAAAAACTTTCAACTTTCTTTTTTCGTCTGGTCCAATAATACTTTCACTTTTTTTTTGATAAAGAATTTGTGGTTCAATAATACGACATATACTTCAAATTGTTATCTTTGTTATTTAAGGAAATGATGTCAGTACTATAATATAACATATACTCCCTCCGGTTCACAATAATCTTTACACTTTCTTTTTTCGGAAGTACCATATTAAACTTTACACTTCCTTATTTTCCTTACAAATCTACACCAAACAGTGCAAAACAGTGTACTCTACAGTAAAGTCAAATTTATTTTCTTAATATGTGTGAAGTCAAAGTATAAAGATTATTGTGAACCGGAGGGAGTATTAAGTTACATTATTTTAGTCAATACTATAATACAACATTTGATTTGTTAAGTGTCATTGTTTAGTTTTAATTTTTAAACGAGCATGGTTTTTACCTCATTGTTTAGTTTTAATTGTTAAATGAGCATGGTTTTTACCTCACGGGTGTATGGCTCGAAGGTGAAAATGAAATTACTTGTTACTTTAATAAGTATATATTACTTAATATTGTGCTCAAAGGGTATGCTTGTTAGTAAGTGTTTTATATAAATTTATACAGAAATATTTATAATGAAATATAGTTAAAATTGTAATGTTAACGTAAATGGTTATATTTATGAGTTCCATTTTTAATCTATTTATGTGTTGAAATTCCGGCATTGTTATAAGTTAAAAACGATCTTAAGTTTTATATGTATCAAGTAATGTTGAAATGTTTGTTAAAGTGATATATATGAGCTGAAAATATTTCTTAGTCATTCCTATGTATGAGGCCGGTGTACGTGCATATCTCTCTTGATATTTGGTTTTTGATCAATTAATAGATAGAGTAAAATTTCAAGTGTTTTAGTGTACACAAATGGGATGAGCAGATCCAAATTAGGAAACATAATAATGCAAGAGAAAGTTACTCAATTTCAACCAAGCATTCCAGCCCAGCTGGTTGTAAGACTATCGTGCTTAGTGAGAGGTCTCGAGTTCGAAATCTGCTAGGCACATAAGGATTCGAAACTCAATGGAGTGAGTTTCAATCCTGATTATTTCAGGCTTCCCCAGACCCCTGGTGTAAAAAAAATGTTATTTAAAAAAAAAGTTATTGAATTTCATTCATTACATAACGGGCCCAAAAAGTAGAATCAAAAACTTCAATTGCATGCTTTTGAAGAGATCAAAAAAAGTGATAGCCCCCGGGCTCTAGGTTAAAAGAATACTCTGTCCGTATTAGGTTAGGTCATGTCATCATTGACTTTGTTCACATTTTGATTTGGATGTGGAATAAGAATATGATCCATGGCATGGCATTGGCTCCAAATGTGGGTGTGGATTTAATTCTACCAAGCCAAGCCCTCCCCGTGAAGACTAGCTAGCTTTCGTGCATATATATATGTATCAACAGAGAGACGAAAATGTGGATCAATAGGTTGGCGTGTAAGGGTAAAAGTTGTGGTTAATTTGTGGGAACCCCAATCCCATTCCATCCCTTGCCGCATATTGCTGCCATAATAGCTTCTCTTCAACTAACAATCTCTGTTTCTTCTCCATTTCTGACATCTGCACGTATGGGGGTGGCGGTATGGATAGGGATGCCGCGAATGGGTCCGCATAGCCTTGTGGTGCCACCGTCGCAACGCTGCTCGCACTCCCCATAGCCAATACACCGGTGGCCGCACGATTTATTGAACCCTGGAAAATTAATGATAAAAAAAATTAGGTTCATTGAAGTATCTACTCTAATACTTCGTACATAGGTATGGATGGGTAAAGAAAAATGCAAACTAATTCATATAGAGCAGGATTGAGGAAAAGAAACAAATTGCTTTAAGTTTGATTAATAATAATGATGATGATAATAAGCAAAACAAGACAATACCCTGTTTTTATGAAGGTAGGTCCATCCAAGGGGCGGTAGTTATATTACTTCCTTCGTCCCTTATTTAAGTTCTGAAGAAAATAAATTTACTGTTTAACACTGTTAATAACTGTTTTGGCACTACTTTGCGCTGTTTTGCATTACTTTGACACTATTTTGGTTTGTTTATCAAATACGAAAGCTTGAATTTGTTTGGGACATCTAAGTAAAGGAAAGTGGCAACTTAAACAGGGGAAGTAGGGAGTAAATAAATAGGTACAGATTTGAATTGAATGCTTGCTTGCCTGTTGGTACAGTCCGTCGAGGAGTAAGGTGTCGAAGCCTCCTGGGAGTTGTGCCTTGCTGTTTGACAAGTAGCTAGCGGATTCAACCAGAACGGTTTCCCAATCTCCGGCGGCGGAAGGTGCCGCAGCGGCGGCGGCACAGTCAAATAAAGCCAAAGCTAATTGGTCAGCTGCATCGGTCATCT